GTTTATACTGGTTCAGGCAATCGGTGCCCTACGTCCAGTCTGAGAGATCGATCTTGTATTCCTTGCACCGAAGTGCTTGTAGTAGGGGGTTACAAGCTGGGCGAGAGAGGGAGCTAGTCCCTGTCTCTGCGTGGAGCGGTGCGGGCTGCTTGAGACGTTGCTCTCAGGCAGCGGGAGAGCGTGTGTCTGAATCTATGTGAGCCTACGTGAGTGTTCGTCTGTTTTCCTCCTCCTAGAAACGGTCCCGGTCTCTCCTTTTATAGTTGAAGGGGGACATGGGTGATACATGTGTTTGCTATGCGGTGAGCGAAGGTGGCGTGCCTGAGTCCTGTAGCTTACCACTGTGGCGGCATGGTCAACGGAGCGGCCTTGTCCTTGATGCACTGGAGCAACGCACCGGTCACACCCGATCCTGTGCGACGTGGGAGCTCCAGTGATAGCTTGGCGCAGGGCATGGCCGATGACGTGTCGGTCGCTGTGCGTTGTTACTGTAAAAAGCCGAGGCTCAGGTGGTGTCGAGACCGAGCCATCGTGGGGGGCTCGGCGGGCATGAATCCCGAGGCTGCCGAGACCCTAAAGTGGATTGTCGAGGCTTGGAAGGAGCAGTTGGTTCTATACACTAATTACGAGGCCATAGTGACCCGGACTTGACTCCCCATGCCGCGTTGTTCCCGGAGTAGGAATTAGGTAGCACAGTGCAGTACGGGCGCCAGTTATGGGCACAGTGCTGAGGACAGTGGCCGGTAACCCCTGCTCTGTCCTGTCTCCCGTCCCGTCGGCCACTCTGCTGTACTGCGCCGATGTGCGGCTGACGTTGCGGGAGTGGTTGGACACGTTTAATTGGACGTGATGTTTTGTCAGAGCAGTCGATCGAGACGGGGGCGACGAGGTTGTTGCCGAGCTGGCCTCGAGTGAGTTTGGAGAATCGGTACTTCATCTGAGGCTTTACGCGTGGGGCCTCAGGCGAATCGGAGAATTTGGTAACCCGTCCGAGGCTTTGCAGGGAGGGGTCTCGGGCGAGAGGGCCTCGGCGAGGTGGAAAATTGGCCTTTCGTCCGAGGCCTTTGCGGCGCGGGCCTCGGGCGAATCGAAGAATTAGCCGGGACCTCATGGTCATCCTTTGGCTTTGATATTTGCGAGGCCTAAGGAATCCTTTCGGTTCTTGCTTAGGGTACCCCTTTTTAGGGTATCCGACAGTAGCCCCCGAGCCACGGGGAGGGTGCGAGCACTCTCCCTGAGGCTTTGTCGAGATTTTGGCTTGCTGCAGCTCCCGTTGGGATTGTGTTTTGTACTCATGGTTCTGGTGGGTGCGCACGAGCGCACCCGCCGGGTGTAGCCCCCGAGGCCCTGGAGGAGTGGATTTACTCCTTCAGGGGCTTTTTTCTATTGAGTAAGGAGTTTTATCACGTTTGCCGGGCCCATGAGTGCGAGTTCAGGTCGATGGGCCTTGGATTAGTTGCAGGGAGAGCCCCTAAGTCCCTGCACGGAGCGAGAGGGCGATCAGTGGTTGACCTATCTTTTGTGGCGGCCCTCGCGCATCCTTTTCGCTCGGAAGGAGGGATGGAGCATGCCAAGCTACCCTCGGTGGGCACGAGCAGTGACATCTCTGGTGAGCTGTTATCGGGTTAGTCCAAGTGGAGGCCCATGCCCCATTCGATAGGGGTCGGCTAGCGGTCCAGAGACACACTCCAAAAGTACTAGAGGGCTTCTCTAGTGGGTCCTAGGGCCGTTCGATTGGCCCTGGGGGCTCGATGCCTCCCTACGGTGGGATGCCATTCGGAGACCTCCCTGCCGGTCTCGGACATGACTTAGGTCTTCCCAAGCATTTGCTTGCTTGGGCCTTGGCCATGTACGAGCTTGCCCACAGTCATCCCTGACTCTGTTTGTCTTGGGGTGGCTGTCGAAACCTTTGGGGGGCCCAGCCCTCGAACCCCTAGACCGTAATGGGCTCGGTGCCCCTTTTTATCGCGTTCTTCCGAGCCTCCGAGTGTGAGCTTGGGTTGCTTGTTTTCGTTCTGGGTGCAGGAAGAGCCCCTGAGCCTCCGCACGGAGCGAGAGGGCGGTCAGGAGTTCCCCTAGCTTTTTATTTGACCCTCGTGCATCCTTTTCGTTTAGAAGGAGGGGTTGTTTGCCGAGCTCTCGAGTGCGAGCCTGGGTCGCAGGGTCTCGGTAAGGTTGTAGGAAGAGCCCTCGAGCCTCTGCATGGAGCGAGAGGGCGATCAGGAGTTCCCCTGGCTTTTTTTGCGACCCTCGCGCATCCTTTTCGTTCAGAAGGAGGGGTTGTTTGCTGAGCCTTCGAGTGCGAGCCTAGGTCGCTGGGTCTCGATAAGGTTGCAGGAAGAGCCCTCGAGCCTCTTCACGAAGTGAGAGGGCGATCAGGAGTTCCCCTGGCTTTTTGTGCGACCCTCGCGCATCCTTTTCGTTCGGAAGGAGGGGTTGTTTGTCGAGCCCTCGAGTGCGAGCCTAGGTCGCTGGGTCTCGGCAAGGTTGCAGGAAGAGCCCCTGAGCCTCTGCACAGAGCAAGAGGGCGATCAGGAGTTCCCCTGGCTTTTTGTGCAACCCTCACGCATCCTTTTCGTTTAGAAGGAGGGGTGGAATATGTCAGGCTACCCTCGGTGGGCGCGAGCAGTGACACTTCCAGTGAGCTGTTATCGGGTAAGTCCGAGTGGAGGCCCGTGCCCCATTCGATAGGGATCGGCTAGCGGTCCAGAGACGCATTACAAAAGTACTAGAGGGCTTCTCTAGTCGGTCCCAGGGCCATTCGATTGGCCCCGGGGGCTCGGCGCCTCCCTATGGTGGGATCCCATTCGGAGACCTCCCTGCCGGTCTCGGACACGACTTAGGGCATCCCGAGCGATCGCTTGCTCGGGCCTCGGCCATGTAGGGCTCGCCAATAGTTGTCCCTGACTCTGTTGTCCTGGGGCGGCTGTCGAGACCCTCGAGGGTCCAGCCTTCGAACCCCTGGACCGTAACGGGCTCGATGCCCGGTTCCTTAGCCTGAAAGGAATCGGCTGGGGGATATTCCCCTCCCATCGGCTAACAACTATTGGTGCGCCTTTTGAGGCAGTTTATCGGGGAACAGCGCCTGTTGTTGCTGTGGTTGGATGCGACGCGATGTCTGTGGATGGGATGTTACCGTGCGCGCACGATTAATGAGGAAAAGGTGGGTGCGTGGGCGGTTAAATCGGATCTGGATTAATTGTGCCTGATTCGAGGGAAACTTCCCCGATTTCATCGCTCGTCCATTTCATCCCCTTCCTGCATAAATACATGGCAAGCCTCACCTCTGTCCTCCTTACCTCGCCTGCATTTGCCTTTTCTACCTCCGAGCCGTCGCTAAGAACAGAGAGCACCAGGGAGAAGAAAGGAGAAGGGCGAGAGAGAGAGAGAGAGAGAGCGAGCCTTACTGCCATAACCCGCATTCTCCACCGCGCTCATGGCTGGTACTATTGTCCTCCCGGCAGATCCTTGGGGTCCATTTGACGTGTCAGAGGAGATGCTGCAGTCGCTTGTCGACGATGGTCTCCTCCGCCCGGTCACCGACCCCAACAGGCCGCAGTGCATTGCTCCGGGGAGTGAGCCAGAGCCGAGGCCGCGCGATGGCTACATCATGAGCTTCATGTCTTTCCATGAGCGTGGCCTCGATGTGCCGGCGGACCGGTTCATGCGGGCGCTCCCGCATTACTACGGTGTGGAGCTTCATAACTTCAACCCCAACTCCATCGCGCAGGTGGCCATTTTCGTCGCCGTCTGTGAGGGATACCTGGGCATCGCCCCCCACTGGGAACTGTGGCTCCACCTCTTCCGGGTGGGGCACACCACCAAGCCGACGGGTACGACGGGTGTGAGAAAGGCGATGAGGGCCGGCGGCTGCACTCTCCAAGTGCACCAAGATTGGCAGGCCCTCTACATCCTAGCTCAGCTCGTGTCGTCCAACCGTGGATGGTACAACAACTGGTTCTACCTCCGCAATGATGACGGCGGGTTTCCCCCTTATACCGGGTGGATCGTGGAGAGCCAGCCGGAGGTGTGGAGGTATGGCATCGTGATGGATGATCAGCCCAAGCTGTGGCCGCTTCTGGAGGCGTTGGAGAGGCTACGCGGCCATGCCCTTATGGCGGCTATGGTCGTGGTGGCCTTCCATCGCCGAAGGGTGCTACCGCCACTACAAAAATTTGGGCTTTGTATGACAAAGGCAAACTGTCACGGTAAGTACATAATTTCTCATAAAAAGCATCTTATGACGAAAAGGCAGCATCACGCCGATCGTCATATAACGACCGTCACATAATGTACCCCGTGATGATACCATTGAGAACCGTCACAAAATGTGGTGACCTTTTGTGACGGTGTGTTTCCAGCGTCACATATTAGTTATCTTTTATGACGGCTGTGCTCGTCACATATTGGATAGTCAACGCGTCACTTTATGTACGAGCCGTCACAAATGATTCGGTGGAAGACATGTTTGGATGGGTTTTTGCGACGCCACAATAGCGTCATATATACAAATTTATATTTTGTGACAACTATATTTCATCTTGTTTTGGATGGTAGTTTGATGCATTTTGAGACGACTGTATGGTGTCACAAGTTGTCTTCATTCATGACGAGCGTGGCATGCATATTCAGTGACGACACAGATCTTTCATCACATCTCACAAAAGCATAATACACATATATCATCCAATCCATCATCCACAGAATGCACTGAAGCCATCATCCACATGATTGACATCACAGGTCATAAATCATACACACTTGTTCCAGCCACACATTGTTATCATCCACAAACATGCATACATATAAGTTTCTGGTTGCAGGTTACCACACATTGTTCCAGCACACTTGTTCCACCACATAGTTTCAGGTCACCAACATAACAGATAAATAGATAGCACATTGGACTGACAAAGTTCCAACCACACAGAGTAAGTTCTAGCTAGGTAGCAATAACATAGGCAAAAGCCTCATCCTGCGAAACTGTATTCATACATACCTCAATCTTTCTGAAGTTTGAGGACAGCTCGCAGCAGTGCATTAGTCTCTTCAAACTTGGTATTCATCCCCTTCACTTCCTCTTGAGTCTGGCGCAGCAAACTTTGGTTTTCTTGGAGTGCGGCCTGCTGAGCTTGAAGCTGTGCTTGCAATTCTTCCTGCTTCCTAGCAGCTTCATCTCTTTCAGCTTGAAGTCTTGCCTCAAACTCAGCTTGAAGGCGTGCTTGTGCTGCTGTCGATGAGGCTTGGCCAGTCTTCGACAGTCTAGGGACACCAATGTTCGGAAGAAAGGTGGATGAATGGCTGATGTGGCTGAGACTTTCAGCAACAATAGTGGAGGGAGACTTTTGTGCTTCTCCTTCTTCTGGCTCTCTTTCCTTCTCTGCCACCATTTGTTCCTACATAAAATGAATGCAGTTAATAACAAGGCCATAGAACAGTACAGAAGCAGGCATTTACTTGAGTACAGTAGATGTATCCAATCATTTAGGAACTTACATATATTTCATCTGCAAGAGGAGTACGACCACTTTGGCGACTAGTCATGCACTCCCCAAAGAAATCAACAACATCTGGTTCCATGTTGTTGTACTTAGGCCTCTGCAGCATGTTAAAAGCAGAAGATATAAGAGTAGCCATGAATTATATGTACATGCCAAACACCAAGATGCCAAAATATGTATGCACTAGACATCATACTAGTTTTTGCCTAAGTATTTGCCTCTAGATTTTTTATGCCAACAACAAATACAATCACTAACAGTCAACTAATTTCTGACAGTTGGAGAAAAACAACTCAGGATTATGCATCAATCCAACCTGGACAGATCAAGAAGAATAACTTGGCCTAATCAACACCTACTACTACTGTTGATGAGCATCTCTGATGACATAACAATTTGTATTACAGATTTCAGTTTGAAATGGTCAGCTTAAGAGATTTGGAGCATAAACACCTACTGATTATAGCTCACTCAGCACAACGCAAATATTATGAACATGGGAGCTCATCTCAGAAATCATAGGGCCAAAGCCACAATCAACTACAAAATCAGAGCTCATCTCAGAAATCAAAGGGCCAAAGCCACAATCAAATACAAAATTAGAGCTCATCTCAGAAATAAGTGGAGCAAGTGCTAACTTGATAGTCCACAAGCACATGGTAATTACTAAGCTACAAATGTCCCATCTTTCAAGCTAATTATACAAAAGACATAGTATCTGTACCAGGCTGTATCGATGGGCAATATATGACCTAGCTCCAGTCTTTTGGTGCAGCTGCACTTGGCCTCGGTTAACTTTATTCTTAGCAGATTTTTCCTGCACCACAAATGCAATAAAGAGTTGTCATTCACATGCACAGGTTGCATTGCATAATAACAAAAGGAGATAATTCAGGCATGGACCTTATTCTTTGGGTCACACCAGTACTCTACCAGCTTTACCCACTCCTCTTTCTTCATCTTTGGTGGAGGCTGTTTGGCCAAGAGCTGCTCCATTGTGAGTGTAGGGTCGAAGTACTTCATTTTCAGGTGATACCTCTGCTGCCTTACTCCCTTCTTGATGATATCAGTGCATGCAGCTTTGCTTGGTCCCTCGTTCTTAATATCCACATCCAACCTTGACTGCAGTCACACATATGAGATATTAGACACAATTTTTGACATGGTAGTGGAGTAATGAAAGTAAGTATTTGGAGTGAAATAGGTATCTTACCGCCACTTTCTCAAGCACTTTTCTTATTTGTGCCGGTCCCGCATCTTTTTGATATAGCTTCCAAGATGTTAAGATAGGCAGGTTGTCTCTTAGGGCAACACCAGTTTCTGATGCCAGCTTCGCTGCCTGAAGTGGTACATCAGGTCTTTTCTTCCCTTCAGCCACCTGGATAGCCAACTTCTTTCCTCTATTTATCATCTTCTCTAAGCCATGACCCATGGTTTTCTTGCGGACATTCTTTTGGCGCGCTGCATTAGCAAATATTGATCAAAATGTGTTATTAAAGCAGTAACAATTGTAGATAATGATTGGAGAAACAAATGCTTGGCAGTATGTATTGTTTACCTGGAACTAAGTCATCACTTGGTTCTCCTTCACATGTATTACCCTCTGAATTAGCAGTATCAAATTGCTCAGCTGACTCATTGATGTCATTGCTTTGCCTAGAGCTCTGGCCACCTGGCGAGGAGTCTGTAGGGATTAGCTGGTTAATACTAGTTGCGAGAGTCATTTGCCTCGACTGAGACATGGTAATAGTGGGTCTAGGAGTATGCTCAGGGTTAGCACCAGGCAGCGAAGGCATGGTGTTTGGTGTGAGGTGGCCTTGCAGTTGGCTGGCACTAGAGATGGCAATAGGTTTAGGGTTGGCTTTGGAAGTGTTCTTAGGAGGCAAGGGATTTCTTATCCTAGGTGGTGGACGGCCTCCAGGCGAAGGCATGGCTGCACTTTGCCTAGTGAGTTTTATTGGCGTCCGCAGTTCTTGCTGGTTGGCAGCCGCCATTGTTGCTGCCTTTTGCTTCTTCTGAGGGCGAGTTCCTGGAACCATCGCTCCTACCTGCCAAGAGAAACATGCATCTTAGTAATGAACAAAGAAGTGTCAAGTAGCATAATTAAGTACAATGAACTATATGTTTGAAATAGATATACCATAAACTTTTTAGTTGGCCTAGTAATGCATCTCACCTCGGTATTGACCTCATTATTGAGGTCATCGTCATAGTCATCATCAGTGTCAGATTGTTTATCAACATCAGAGGAGGTGTCATATTCAATGTCAGATTCTGAATTCCCCCTGCCCTTTTCCTTTTATGATATAACTTCTCTAATAGACTGAGCTAAGATTGGAATACCCAAAGACTTAAAAACTTCCTGAACATGCTTTACATTCTCATCCCTCTTCTGCTCATAACTGGTTTTTGTCATTTCCTCTATTACTTAGTACGATGAAATGTAGAAAGAGTAGAAACTAGATTCAATTTCTGTAAAAGGAGTTGAAGAATTAACTAACACATCAGTACTCTGTTAAATAGTAGAAAGAAGGCAAAGTATCAAGTAAATTCAACTAACATGGTTATGCAGGTAAATGTGACAAGAAACAACTAACAGATGACAACAATGTCTCAACAACTAACAGATGACAACAATGTCTCAACATGTATCCATCTTTCATTTCATTCCAACTCACAATTTTTTGCAAAAACAGAACTACAGCGTGTGCATTCCAACTCAGTCAGTAGAAGACATGTACATTGAAATGGTAGAATAAGATTAGAATTATGTACATTCATCTTTCTTGTGCATCTAACAGTTTTCAGTCATGCATGATTTATGTCCATCTTAGTATATTATGATAAACACTATAACTGGATTACTTTGCCTGTAGCCAATAAACAACAACCATCTACCAGACACCCAAGGTTGAATTTCACTAGTACTTATAGTAAATATAAAGCATATACTTCACTCAGTTACAGATGACTTGTCCAATCCAATTGAAATAACAGTTTCAAATCAGTTGTGAACTTAACCAATATCAGGAACAATAAGCAACTGACAGTATTCTGGGCAACTTACTTCAGTACATCCAAATCAAATAGTAGGTGCTTTTAGCACACAATGTGGAAAGCAGACAGGCCCTAGTAAGGTAAATACCTAAGTGAAAACAAGGATGCTACAAGTGCAAGATGTTTGCCAAGATGTGAAAACAAAGATGCTACAAGCGGGCTCACCAAGTGTCAGCGGGTAGCCGGCGAGGCAGACAACATGGCGCGGAGCCGCAGCGGTAAGCACATGCCCTGTGGTGGACGGGCGCCCTATGAGCCGTGGATGTCGTCGGGGCAGCGTGAGCTACGGATCTGGCCTCTAGCGTCGGGGTGGTTCCGGCCTCCGGCGTCGGCGCTGACGAAGTCTGGGAATGGATCTAGCCTCCGGCGTCGGGGACGAGTGGCGGTGGCGTGATTTGCGCGGGTGGCGGCGGGGTGCCGTTAGGTTTCGAGGAGGGAGGAGGAGGCCATGGTATGCGCGAGGAGGAGTAGATCCTGGCCGGGGATGGAGGGGATGGGCGGCGGTGCGGTGGCTTGGTAGGCGGCGGTGCGGCGGTGTGGCGGCGCTAAGTGGACTAAGACCGGGAGTGGACTGTGGTGCCCAAGAGGATAAGGCAGGAGGGGAAAAATTTCGATTAGGCAGGCAGGAGGCATGTTGGGGCCCATTTGTCGGTCACAGCCAACGCGCGGGAGAGCGGGCGGTGGAGGTAGCCAATTTTGGTCTGACGCGGTGGGTCCGCTGTGTCGGTGGCAGAATGCAGCACTTGCATTGTTCTGTCCTGGCGCGGTGGATCCTCTATGTCAGTCATAGAAACAGTATTATTACGAAATCAAATACATTTTTGGGGTACTAAATGATTTGAACTGGAAAAATGGTAAGAAACAAAGTTGTTCAGCGCATCGAGATCTACCATTTGTATTTCTGACATTTTTTCAGTTGACTTTGTTTAGAGAGTTCAAACTTTGAATTTGGAAAATTTTAAACTTGAAACTCAAATTTGAGGTACTATGTAATTCCAAATGACAAAGTCATGAATACAAAAGTTGAACAACTCATCAACATCTAAAAATTTTGTATAGACCATTTTTTCATATGACAAAGTGATTAAAACTTTGTTCTCAAATTCTACTTATCTCAAATTCTACTTTGTCATATGAAAAAATGGTCTATACAAAAGTTTTAGATGTTGATGAGTTGTTCAATTTTTGTATTCATGACTTTTTCATTTGAAATATTTTTTAGTGTCTAAATGTGGTTTGTTTTTGTCACTTTTTGGAAATTCAAAGTTGTTAGTGTTCAATTTTTGTTACATTCAAATATGACCAAACTCAATGCAACTAATGGATACAACATGATTTTAGAAAATTTTAGAAAAAAAAACATCAAATTTGGAGCATGTATGTGGGAGTAATACTAGTTACAATTTTTTTTTGCCAAAGATCAAAAAAAGAAATGAGCTTTGCACAATGAAGGCCTAAATACCATGAAGGCCCCACCTGTCATAGAAACTTTGCTCCACTTGCAGGAGCCACATGTGTGTACCAAGGCATACTTAGCATACTGGCTAAGACACAAATGTGTTGAGGCCGGCCACATCTGGCCACCTGCTCCTCGCCGACCACCCCCACCTGCTCCATAGCCGGCGACCCCTATCCCACCTGCTCCTCGCCGGCGACACCGTACCCCACGTGCTCCTCGCTGGGTTTCGATGAGCGCGCGCTAGGGGGCGACCACATGAAGCTACTCCTCTCAGGTCCCAGCGTGTTGACCTCGACTGCTCCCTCGCCTAGATGCCTGCTCCTCCTCTCAGGTCCCAGCGTGTCGCCAGTCGGCTGCTCCTCGCCTGGCCACCTGCTCAACGCCTGGCCAGCTGCTGAAGCCTCGCCAGCCACCACAGCTGGTGCATCTCCGGCCGGCCAGAGGAGCTGCTGAAGCCTCGCAGCCCAGCCCATCTGCTTGCCACTGGCTCAACAGCCATTGTTCAAGGTTGATTTTTCAACATATATGAAGCATAAACATAATTTGTCCACATCATGATTTTTAAATTCTTGGCACTTATATTGTCCAGATGGATAGGAGCTGGGTTTATAACAGTGCGCCATTTACTCCCGCCTATATGGATGGTGTTGAACAGTTCATGGCACATGTCATAGCGAGATATAGGCCTCATGAGGAAATCAAGTGCCCATGCCGCAAATGCCTGAACCAAAGAGATAAAAGTCAAGCTGAGGTACAAGAGCATATAGAAATCAATGGTATTTCTAAAATGTACACAAGTTGGATTCACCATGGAGAGGGAGATAATGATGTTGTACAAGATGGAGAACTCCCTATTGTACCTGAAGATATGTCATGGGATGGAAATGACCAGGCTCCACTTGATGATGAAGGACAAGATGAAGATGTCATATTAGATGATAGTGAACGGGGAGTTCAGGGTTTGATTCAAGATCTGTACACCGCAGCAAGCCATGGCGTCGGTGCCAACTTATATAAGCAAATCATGGAAGAGGCAAAGCGTGAACTTTATCCAGGTTGCACCGAGGAGTCTAGGCTAAGTTTCATTATTAAAATGCTGCATATAAAAGTGTACAATTGGATAACAAATTCTGGGTTTGATGCAATGCTTGAGTTGCTTTCAACATCATTCAAAAATGTGACCGGCCTCCCTAAGTCCTATAATGAAATGAAAGCTCTACTTCGGAAGCTTGGTTTTGGTTATGTTTCTATTCATGTGTGCAAGTATGACTGTGCCTTATTTTGGAAAGACCATGAAGAGGATGATCATTGCCCAGTTTGTGGCTTCACAAGATGGAAAGTGAACAAGGAGGGCAAAAAGAAAGTTCCTCACAAGGTCCTCCGTTACTTTCCAATAATTCCACGCCTCCAAAGGCTTTTTATCTCAAAGCAGCGGGCACAATATGCAAGATGGCACAAGGAAAAGAGGGTAGCAGTTGAGAATGAAATGAGACATCCTGCTGATGGAGAAGCTTGGAAAGAATTTGATGATACTTTCAAGTCTTTTGCAGATGATCCTCGCAGTTTGAGGCTTGCCATTGCTACTGATGGATTTAACCCATTTGGTCAGATGACCAATTCATATAGCATCTGGCCAGTGATAGTGGTTCCATACAATTTTCCACCATGGATGTGTATGGACCAATCCAATTACATGCTTGCTTTACTAATTCCTGGCAAAAAATCACCGGGCAAAGATTTCCATGTGTTCATGCAGCCTTTGATAGCAGACATGCTAACTCTTTGGAATGGTGTCCCTACTTATGATGCATATGAAGGCAAAGACTTCAGTCTACGTGCAGCGATTCTGTGGGGAATCCATGACTACCCTGCATTAGGTACCATGTCAGGCAGAAGCACTAAGGGTTACTTCTCATGTGTGCACTGTGATGAGAATCCATGCTCCGAATGTCTGACCAACAAAATTGGATTCATAGGCCATAGACGTTTCCTCCCAAACAACCATCCATGGAGGAAAAATAGATCTTTCAATGGCCACCATGAAAATAGGGAGCAGCCAAAGAAATTTAGTGCAGATGAGGTTATGGCAAGGTTGGATGATGTTTGCTATGTTCCTGGCAAGAATCCAGATAAGCCGAAATCAAGAAAACGACGCCGTGGTGGAGAACCAGTATGGCATCTGAAGGTTAGCTTGTATGATTTGCCATACTGGTCAAAATTGAAGCTACAGTACAACCTTGATGTTATGCACATAGAGAAAAACATATGTGAAAACATTTTGTCAACTCTACTTAATATTCCGAACAAGACAAAGGACACAATTGCTGCTAGAGTAGATTTGGAAGAAAGAGGTATAAGAAAAGAGCTTCATTTGTTAGATGACACTGGTGCTGCATCCTCAAAGCCAAGAGCTTGTTACGTTCTAACACTAGAAGCAAAGAAGTTCTTGCAATTTGTGAGCAATGTTAAGTTTCTAGATGGCTATGCCTCCAATATATCAAGATGTGTCAATATGGAGGGAGGAGGATCAATGCATGGGCTGAAAACACATGACTGCCATATACTGCTGCAGCGTATTTTACCAGCTGGCCTTCGTGGCTTGGTGCGAAAAGACGTATATGAAGTAATTGCTGAGTTGGGTAGGTTTTTTAGACAACTTTGCTAAAAAACTCTAAAGGTTGATGCACTAAAACAAATGAAGGATGATATTGTGCTTATCCTTTGCAAGCTAGAGAAAATTTATCCTCCTGCATTCTTCGATGTTATGGTTCACCTAGCAGTTCACTTACCTGATGAGGCACTCCTTAGGGGACCGGTGCAGTATGGATGGATGTACCCCATTGAGAGAAGATTGGGCACCTTTAAGCATTTTGTTCGCAATAAAGCAAGACCTGAAGGTTCTATTGCAGAGGCATACACTGCCTATGAGTGTATGACCCAGTGCTCAACATATTTCAGTGACATTATTAATAGGTTCACTAGGCCTGAAAGATCCTTGGATGGAGAAAAGAACATCTCACCCAATGGTTACTCTATTTTTGGTCATGGTGTTAACCTGTTGGGTGCTTCAAAACTTCATTATGAACACAAAGACTATGACTCCATGGTTTGGTTTGTTCTAAATAACTGCGAAGAGGTTGATGAATACAAAGAGTGAGTAATTGCTGTAATTTCATTTCAGCCATCTTTATTCAAAACAAGTGTCACAAAAAGACTAACTATCTTCTTCCTTTGCAGCATGTATAGGGCAGAATTAGAACAACAAGAGGTCAACGATGTTGAAAAAATGATGTCAACACAATTCGCTGCATGGTTTGGGAATCATGTGTGTGCAGCTTCTACAACATGACTTAATAATTTATGATACAATACACTCTGAAACTCAATAATTTTGTTTGTTTACAACCTGCAGATTACGAAATTGAAATATGAAGGCACAACACATGTTGATGAAGACATGTACTCACTAGCATGTCGGCCGAATCCGTGAGTGCGTTCATACATAGCCTGCATAATCAATGGGGTACGGTACCACACTATGGCTCGTGACGAACACAAGAAGACACAGAACTCCACCATCAAAACTATAGGTACTCACTGTGGTGACACAATTGACTTCTATGAGACAATCATAGACATTATTGAGTTGAGTTACAGTAAGAACAGCAAAGGGCATAGAACTGTTATCTTATTATGGTGTGAATGGTACAATCTAGAGGGAAAGACATACCAGCTGAAAGATGATGGTTACTTCAAGAGCATAAATAGCCAAGGCCGATGGTATAAGAATGATCCTTTCATTATAGCCACTGATGCTTCACAAGTATTTTTCTTGGAAGATACAAAGTTAGGTCCATGTTGGCGAGTGGTACAAGAATTTGGCCACCGACATATATTTGATGTTGAAGAGACCGACACAAACCAACCAATCCATGAACAAGTACAGATGAGATGTCAGGAGGCATACCAAGAGGAGCATACTTCATCAAGAGATGGTGCAGTGGGAGACATTCATCCTGATATGGATTTGTTGCGCATGGATAATGAACCAGGCAGCCCTGTTAGTAGAGACCTCGTCGAGAGCATCCGTCGACAAAAACATACAACTCAAGGTGATGAAACATACGGCGATGATGAAGATGAAGATGAAACCTACCTTGAGTACCATAGTCCTGAAGAAGGCAATACTTCAGGAGAAGACAGTGATGATGACTGACCTTTGCATTTCTGGAGATTTGTGAACCATGAACTTTTCTATTATTGATATTGTTGTATTTGAATTATGCTACTACATTTATATCTGAATTATGAAATTGTAAGACCTTATATGCAATGACTCTGTTTTCAGTGGATGGAAGTTACAGTGCCCAGATTTCATTCACATGATGCAAGTTATATATAGTGCCCAGACTTCATTCACATGATGCAAGTTATATATAGTGCCCAGATTGTTGTGTTTTCATGACACATGATAATGTCATGTAATGCCCAGAATCTATCATGGAATGTACAGAATCTGTCACAAAATGTATAGCCTAGAAGTTACAGACATGCTGCCAAAAATTCATTCCACACAAGTAAATCATCATAAGCAAAAGGGATCTTTATTTCCAACATATATCAGAAATGTACAGGTTACACAAGAGAAGTCCAAGAGCACGAAGGCCCATATTTTCATACCAACTACAAATACATCCTGGACAGCAGGTTCACTACATGTCCTAGCTAGCCTACTTCATCATCATAGCCAAAAGCATATCAAATGTGGCAAACATATCCAACCCACTTCACAGCATGTCCTGCTACATCATCATTGCCTACTTCAACATTACAATTACAACCAAAAGAATGGCCAGCACCAGGAATGTTACATTCAGACAACCACAGACAAGACAAATGCAACTTCCCATGCCTTCCCTGTTCTTGATAACCATTTCCTTCGCCTTGTTCAGACTCTGCTCTAAGCTATCAATTTTTCCTACAAGCTCAGGAACTTCAGTTGTCGAAGCTAGTGCAATGGTAGAAGCAGCTGATGGTAGATAACCATTATCAAGAAGGAACACCACATATTCTTCCTCAAACCAATACCTAGCACATGTCCCCTGCATCCAAATTTAAACAACAGGGAAATTGAAATCAATACACTACATCAACTGAATGCTAAAAACACTACCATTCTCAAGCATGCCCATTCAAACAAGATTGAAATGATTATAACACTGACATTTTGATAGATCTTCCTAGGGCACTTGAAATATCTCTTTCCAAAGTTCAACCCAAACTGCGTGGTATTGGCAGCAAAGACCCTGACATCCTTGCAATCTGGGCACATAATCAACGGCAACCCGCTCACATCATCAATCAACGTCTCTAGATCGACGATTGAGGGCAGAGGAGCTACAGCAACAACAACAAGGGGTGCGGGTTGCAGGGCAACCCTAGCTGCGCTAGACCGCCTAGTGCGAGTGGTAGA